ACCAGAGGTTTGGAGATGACTTGAGAAATATCTTTCAGGCTTGTATGGAGTCCGGGATGAAGGGGGAGTGGCGGGGTTCGTGTTTATGTTTGGCTCCTTTAGGTTACATGAGGAGTGAGAATATGCGATGAGAGACAGTCTCGAGCTCAGCGGATGTCCAGCCGCCCCGCCCCCCCCCCTACCAACTGCGGAAGCACATCAACTCCTCATGCCCCCTCCTCCCCCCTCCCCTGCCTCCTCCTCCTCCTCCTCCTCCTCCTCCTCCTCGTCCTTCTCAGTTCTGAACAGCTTCTGGATCCCAACCCGCTGCTGTTTCCGGAAGCCTCCTGGGGGATGAACATGAGCGAGGAGGGGAAAGCGCTGCTGACCGGGATGCTCGACAAGGTCAGAAGCGAGAGAGGATGGGGGGGAGGAGGAGCGAACAGCAGCAGGGTTAGCAAGGGATGGGGTACGAGGGAGCATGCAGACTTGATCTGCTTACGCAGTTGGCAGGAGGGCGACAGGCGCGTCAGCTCGCACGCGGCCCTTCAGTCAGGCTGGTTCGCCCCGGAGAGAGCGAACGAGAGTGAAGCAGCACAAGCAGCGGAGGAGGCTGAGGCGGAGGTAGAGGAAGTGGCGACGGAGAGGGAGGAGGCGGTCATCGCTGTCGACCTTGTGCCTCATCAGCTTCTGCTGCCGAGGAGACCAACGCGGATCAACTACGCGGGGCGAGTGATAGGACGAGAGGTTGAGGGTTAGAGGAGAGGCACAGAGAGGAGTAAAACACTTGAGGTTTAGAGTGAAAGGAAGCGAGGAGGAGAAGAGAGGAGGAGAGGGTAGGGGGTGGTAGGAGGGCAATCAATAAAGTCTCAAGCTGTTGGCGATACTCGAGGGTTCGCTGACCTCCAGGTGAGAAACTCAGCCATGAGGTCCCTCATCACGTTGAGGTTCAGAGGTTTGCTAGCGTAGCGATCCATCCCTGCCATCCCGTCAACCCCAACCACCTCGCAATCCTTCTCCTCGCCCTCGCCTTCGCCCTTGACCCTCGTTCCCCCCCCCCCGCCCATTCTTCGCTCTTTCTCCCTCCTCCTACCGGAACTCAGACATTCTTCCACGTCTGCTTGGCTCGCATGCGCCGTCATGGCTACGATGAAGTAGGGAGGGTCCGTCCTCTGCTAGACGTCACAAGTCGAAGCGGACACGAGTAAGGTGGCAGGGCAGGGGAGGAGAAGGGGGATGGAGGAAGTGGAAAGGGGGAGGGAGGGGGCGGGACTCGCCTGTTCCTCCCACTCGCGAATCTTGCGAGTAGCGTCGAGGCCATCCATGACGGGCATGCGCACATCCATGAGGATGAGGTCGAAGGCATGGCCTCGCGCTGTCGCCAGGTCCAGCCCCTCCTGCCCGTTGTTCGCCAGCACGATGTTCACCTTGTCCTTCCCTGCTCCTCAGTCAGCCACCCTCGTCTCCCTCCTCCTCCTCCCACCTAACGCCTTATGCAGCATCGCTATCGCAACCTTCTGGTTCACAGGGTGATCCTGACGCGTCGGTCAGACAAAGAAAATTCCTCCTCATCCTCCTCCCCTTAGCTTCGCCTTCACAAGTCTCACCTCCACTATGAGGATCTGCATTCGATCTTCTCCCGTCGGCGCCGCTTCCTCGGCCTCAGTCTGCGGCTTCTGCGGCTTCACCACGGAGGTCTCGACGGGGGCAGGGGTGAGGGAGAAGGCGGCCTCGAGCTTGGAGCGGAAGAGCGAGGGCTTGATGGGCCGGAGGACGAACTGAGCCATGCTCTTGGGGGGCAACTTGGACTGGTCGTCGAGGTGGCCGACGAGGAGGAGGCGACGGGAAGCGAGAGAGGAAGGAGAGTCAGCGATGAGGTGCAGGTAGACCTGGCAGTCCATGACCAGCACAGCCTCGTCCTGCGCCTTGAGGGCCTCCAGCAGCCTCTGGCTCGTCGCGATCGCCCTCGCGTGCCCATGCGGATTCTCCTCGAAGGAGATGACAGAGCTCTGCAACCCCCACTCCTCGCACAGCCCTCGTACAAACTCCAAGCCCGGCCCCTCCCGCAGCACCACCAGCACACGACCACTGCGACTCAGTGAGCACCAGGAGGGAGGGGGAAGGGAGAGGAAATGGAAGGAGGAGGAGGAGGAGCGAGGTAGAATCAGTTGTCACCTCAAACCATCTTGAGTTGCCTCCTCCCGCTTCACATCCTCTGACTTGGCAATGGGTAGGGGGACGGTCACTGTGAAGGTTGTGCCTCCTCCTCCCACTGAGCTCCGGCACTCCACGTTGCCTCCCATGGCGTTGACGATCCTCTTGGTGATCACCAGGCCTAGCCCGGTGCCGTTGTGGTTGCGGAGGTGCGATGACACCTGGAAGGCGTCAGAGTGTTCACATCCCTCCTCTGCCGCGTCACCTGCGAGAAGGGCTTGAAGAGCAGCTTCTGCTTCTCCTCGGGGATCCCTTCCCCGTTGTCCCAGACTTCGATGCGCAGCTGTGCCAGGTCCTTCTCCTGCGAGTCCACGTGGATCCGCAAGATCACCTTCCCGTGATCGTCGCGAGCGAACTTGATGGCGTTGTCGCAGAGGTTGATGAGGCACTGGCGCAGGCGGAAGCTGTCGCCCACCAGCGCCGGCAGCATCTCGAACTTCTTCTGCTTCGCGACGTCCACCGCAAAGTCAACCTTACGCATGTTGACGCGAGCAGAGAGGATGTCGCAGAGATCTTCGCAGATGTCGGTGAGCAGGAACGGCTGCTTGTTCAGCTCGATCGCCGGCGCTCCGTCTCCCTTCCCCTTCCCCGTGTCCGAGTCCTCGCGCGCTTCCAGCTTCGCGTACTCGAGCACCTGGTTGATAATGCCCAGTAGGGCCTCGGCTGAGGTAAGGGAGGACTTCACGTACTCTCGGTGGAGGGGGTCGAGCTCTTCAGCGTCCAGGAGGAGCGAGTTGAAGGCGATGACCGAGTTGAGGGGCGTGCGAAGCTCGTGGCTGATGTTGGCGACGAAGCGACGGGAGAGGCGGGCGGAGGTTTCTGCCTCCACACACGCCATCTGCAGTGCTCGGTTCATCACCTCAGCTCGGACGACAGCCGTCTGCTTCGAGTCTCGCTCTGACCTCAGCTGCGCCACCCGGAGCGTGGCGACGGTGTCGAGCAGGCAGAAGTTCCCCGACATGAGCGCGACTGAGTAGATGGCCTTGACCACCACGTCCACGACAGTCCTCGCGATCTCATACTGCAGGGTGTCCAGGAGCCCCAGGTGGTGTAGGATGTGGAGAGAAGGGAAGAGAACCCACAGCATGTAGGTGATCGCCTCCAGCCCTCGCAGCGACATGATCTCGTACGTGGTCGCCGCGTTGGACAAGCTGATGCTCGAGATAGAGTGAATGTACCACATCACCGTCATGAAGCAGCAGCCGGCACACCCGAAGCAGATCCACCCGTACAGTCCGGGCCCAAGGAAGGTGTGCGTCAGCCCCAGCGTGAGCATGACCTCGTCCCACAGGATCGCTCGGATCACAATCCCCCAGTCCTGCACGAGGCTGTCCTGCATAGACGAGCCGAGCGATGCCAAGACCAGGATCATGACTGGCGTCGTGTTCATCCACTGCGCAAAGAACTGCACGTAGATGGGGTTGCCTTGGAAGTCGTACATGGAGGGGTACAAGTCGTAGATGGTGGATAAGTAGACCGTGAAGGAGACAAGGTTGATGAAGAGAACCAGACTGTTAAGCTGACGCTTCTTGGACGACACCTGTAAACCCTCCATCAGCATCAGCTCCACGCCAACAACTCGGTCACCTGAAAGAGGACACCGGCGATGTCGATGATTATGCAGATGCCAAAGATGCAGGTAGCGAGGACCTGGTCAAAGAGCGTGAGGAGAGGAAGAGCGAGGCTGCTCTCACAACCTTGACAAACTTCGCCTGATGCATGATTACATGCACGTTGGGCATCGGCTCCATTCCTTTGATGCTGGGGGTGCTGAACGGCGCGTACCACCAGCAGGCAAAGGTGAAGGAGATGTAGACGAGGCACCAGATGGTGAAGAGGACAATGCCGGGAGCATCGATAGCCCAGAAGAGCAGCTTTTCCTTGAGCGTGAGCTGCTGGGGCGTCTGCTCGTCCAAGTCGTCGGATTGGAACAGGTGCTCGCGCTTCAAGGACGACCCCATCTTGATCAGACGTGAAATGGTTGACGGCGAGGCGATCCCTCCTTTCTGCAGGACGGAAGCAAGATCTCGGTTGGAAGAGCTTGTAAGGTCCTTCTCCGAATCCTCTCGCCCTGGCATCCCCGACGTTGGCATCTTCCTCTCCTCTTTCAGTCCACGTATCTCACAGCACGGCTCCTCTGCCCTGCTTGTTTGCCCCGGCATGGAAACATGAATGCGAACGTCTCCCCAGCACTGCCTCTCCTACCCTTGCATCGAGCTGCCAACAAAACATGTCACGGGCTGGAATATTCAAAGGCAATATCTCTCTCCCCCACCTCCTAGCATTAATCTCTTCATTTCTAATCCTTGTCTTCTTGTCCTGGTTCCAACATCCCCACTTCAAGCAGACACAGGAACATATGTCCAACACAACTACACTACAACTCTTTCATATCTCGTCTCCACCTATTACTGTGCAGTATACCCTCATACTCAATAACCTCACAACACTTCCTTCTTTATCCCTGCTTTCGTTCGCCCTCTTCCAGGCGCTCGGTGCTTGCCCCGCTCTCCCTCCGTTCCCTCCTCTTTTATTCCCCTCCCTGCTCACCTGTGTTTCTCTCACCCCCTCATCTCCTCGTTCTCCTCTGATCATCTTTCTTGCTCTCCTCTCCTCTCCTTCTCTCTCTCCCCCTGTCCTTCGCCTCTCCCCCCTCCCTCCCTCCTCTAGTCCTTCCCCTCGCATGCCCGCGATTCGCCTTGCTACCCACCCCTACCCTCATCTTGATGACCCCCGCTCAACACCCACCCCCTCTTTCTCAAGTCCGGGGGTGTAGGCCGACCAGATAGCCCCACCCCTACCCCAATAGACCAGTCGATCTGTTGAGGGACCCCATTATCTCCTTGATCTACCCCCTCGTGGCCCAGCACTTTCCTACACCCACCCCCCTCATCGCTACAAGCAGTTCCTGGACCCCACCCTACCCACAAGCAGTCATGATCTACCCCTACCCTGGGTATGTTTGTGAGGCCTATATGCAAGTAACCCCATCCAAGCTCGACCACCTACCCACTAGCTAAAAATTTCACTACCTACCCCACCTCCCTAGCGCTTTACTAATACCTTCCTAGTGACCTATTCCTATTTCACTCACCCCATGGACTCCCCTGTTTACTACCCCTACCCCCTAACAATCTGCTAGCCAGCTTGGTTACCGGCACCCCACACCCCCTCCCACCCCACCCTCCAACAATAACCATGACTTGCCTGCACACCCCGCCCATTTCCCTACCCCACCCACTCGTTTTCCATGAACCACCCCTAGTTCAGACTCATGTTGTATCCACAAGTTGCTACCCAGTCATCTACCTCCACTTGGAAGTCTACTACCCCTACCCCCCCTATCTCCTTGTCCCCCTCCTATCGTCCACCCCTTGGTCTTCAAACCGTCCACCCACCCTGGGTTCAGACCACCCCCTTCTGTCCCTTTTACCACCCCTACCATCTCCACTTGTACCTCCACCCTTCCTTTAGGCCCCGCCCTCTTAACAACAACAATATTTTAAAAGGTGAAATCGCATGGTTTCAAATCTTGATTCAGAAGATATTTTTCTCTCCTCCTCCCTCGTCCCCCCTCAGTCACGCTGGCCTTTCCGTTACAATGACCGTTACAATAACGGTTACTCAGCCCCGGAACCAACACCCGGCGTTCCCACCGTCACTCAGGGAAGAACGAATCATCACCCTCATTCACCTCCCTGTCACCGCCATGCATGGGTTCGGCTGCGAGAGATTCGGATCCCCTGCAGGTAAGAAGAAGAAGAAGAAGAAGAAGAAGAAGAAGGAAGAAGATGACGATGATGATGCAGACAACGATAATGATGGAGATGGAGATGAT